GATTTTGACAATATTAATCGATACAAAGATTAAAATTATAAGTATAAAGATATAATCATAAAATGATTAACTATAGAAGAAATATTAAAAAATTAATTTAAATAGAGTTGTAATAAACTCAAATCTAAGAAAAGTTAGAATTAATATCAAATGATGTAAAGGATAACTTATAAAAATATAAAGGTTATGGTTGTAATAGTTATTTATAAGGTTAATTTGATGATAAAAAATTGATAAAAATTATTAATAGAATCTTTCAAGATGTTAAATAGAATATAAAATTTAGCATTTCCCTTAAGTTAATAATAATTCTTCTTAATTGTAAGCTTTACAGTAGGGAGTTAATCAATTTCGCTGATTTCTAACTGTATAATAGATTCTCTAAAAGAAGATTATATCTTTATAAGGTAATACCTTATTTACTATATTTTCCATTTATTATTATTTTTGAATAAATCTTTTTATCTGATCATTTATCTCAATATTTTAGTAATTATTTTAAAATCCCTTATAATCTTAGTTAGCTAAACTTTTTAATTCTTGATAAATACATTTTTGATAATATTATTCATTGATAAATTATCAAAGTAAAAATGTAAAAAACTCATCCTTAATAATAATATAAACTAAAGAAAAGCAGGGCATTCATTATCATTTGTTATGTTTATGAAAAGTAAAGCAAGACAAAACAATCTTCAATAATAAGTTGAAAAATTAATGGATAGTAGTGAGAAGGATAATGAGTTTAATTATTAAATAGTATTCATTTAAGTCTCATGTCCAATAAATACAAGATTGATCTGTATTCTATAAATGTATAATCAAAAACTTTAAATAATAATTTTATTGATTATTTCTATACAATTGTCTCAATCATATCTAATTTATTTTTGGAATCAACTTTTAAGTTTGTTGCGATAAAGCATCAAATAGTTAAGAAAATGATAATATTTTATATTGTTGAATCATTTCAAAATAAGAAAGAACATTAACTTTATCGAATTATTAATTTTAGACTTTCCTTAAGTATTTCAGCTTGTAACTTAAGTATATTTAATATCAAATTTTTCATTAAGAGGTGAAAAGTGAAAATTTTGAATTTTGAACCCTTAATCTCACTCACTCGATGTAAATTTGAATAATAAAATGAACAAGAAAATTTGAAAATATAAAAAAGGAATCTAAAATTTGTTTCACAATTTTTTATTATTTAATCTCACCTGACCTGATGTAAAATATATAATAATCGAAAGGAAAAAAAAATAAATTGAAGAAATTTTATTGTAATACTATCAAGTCTACATTAACATAGTAAATTTGTACATAAAAAGTAAAGTAATAAAATAAATGCTAATATAAATGTCTATTTTTGCTGTATGTAAAAAATACTATAAAAAGTAATGCTGTGCTGTAAGTTAACGATTAATATTTACCTATATGTTTATTTATATAGTACATAATTATCATCAATGTAACAATAAAAATTTAGGTAGTATTGCTCTCTCATTATATTTTATAGTATATACTCTAGTACAACTAGAGTATGTAATATATTCTATTATCTTCTATATGATAGTATATATATACTCCAGTATATAATATATTAAATAATATCTTCTTTGTTCCTATCTATGCGGCATACTTTCCTTCTAAATGGTGATCTGATAAAAATCATGCTTTTCCTGGAAATGATCCACCATCATCTTTTATATTCTAATAAAATCATGATTAACTAAATCATTAAAAGAATTAATATAAAGTTTTTTATTACAATACAGGTGATGGACATTAAATAAGAAA